CTCCCGACATGTTTTGGAACTATAACATTTTCCTCTTTTTTCCCTTTTATTCACATGCCTTTTACTCACTTTGCTAAAAACAATATATTTTGCGGAAATTTTTCAGCAGTTTTTTCCTCTTAGAGATTTAGTATCATTTTAGTCATATCTTGCAACTTGGAAAAGCTAAAATTGATGCAAAATGTGTATGTTATTGCTGAATATATTTCCAGTCATTTTTAACACGCATTTGATGTGATTTTCCTATTAAAACATGAAATCTGTATTGTCCACATTTGTAATTATTCTTATGTTTTTAACTCATTTTTATCATGTTTGAAAAGGAATTCTTGTTTTCATGCAGAATTATTGCATTTATGTATAATTTCTCCACAGTCATGGCTGTATTCATTGCATTTTCTAGTGTTTTCTTTCATTTTCCTCTCCAATTCTGTTAAATAGAATATTGGACCCTATAGTAGAACGTGTTAGTATTACAAGGAGTTACAAATATGAATAAATTACTATTTACAATATCAATATCAATATCAATATCAAGTAAATAGTAATTTATTCATATTTGTAACTCATTGTAATAGAAAGAAAGAAAGATTTTTATTATACACATGATATTAGTATTTACAAGTTATCTGTTGAAATCATAGAACTGAAGAATTATTACAGATTTATGTTATTATAGACTTAGATTGGATGTGCGCAGTAGCCAAAGTAGCGTGGGCTTTCGAGTTGGCTATTGCATGTTAATAATTTTACATGGAATATAAGAGAAAGTAGAAGATCGTTATGGCAAAGTAATCATATCAATATTTAGCTTCTAATTCATAATTTGACAAGTATGTTAAGACTATATCAGGCAGGATAGGAGGGACTGTTTGTACTGTATTTTAAAGGCTTCAATATTTAAATGTTTTAAATAAGGTGGAATACAATTCCACAGCTTCGAGATAATAAATTTGATGGTGGATTGTCCATAATTAGTTCTTACTTTCGGCCGATAGAAATTGCCACTGGCAGACAGTCTAGTATTATAGCTGTGAACATCAGATATTGGTGTAAGGTAATCATGAAATATGTATGGAAATTTCGATGAATCACTTGACTGTTTTTTTGCAAATGTAGCAATTTTAAATTTCACAATATTGTCAAAATTGAGTGTTCCAAGAAGTTTGTAGTAAGTAGTTGCTGACTGCATATGATTTGCGAAGAAAATACTACGTATACATTTATTTTGTTTAGTACGAATCTTGGTTAAATTGGTTGTATACGCGCTACCCCAGCTCATAACACCATGAGTTAAATAAGGGTAAATAAGGTTATAGTAAAGTTGCTTTAATATGTAAATGTTAGATAAATGACGTAATTTATAAAAAATGCCAATATTTTTGGCTAATTTACTATTAACATGAGCAATTTGGCTTTTCCAATTGAGATGTTTATCGAGATATATACCAAGATACTTAATACAGTTTTTGCGTTCGATATTAGGAATGTTGATATTAATGTGCTTTTTGTTACTTGAAGTTATCACCATAAAATTGGTCTTGTTCATATTAATAGATAATTTGTTGAGAGCACAGTAGTCATATAATTTTTTTAGCTCACGATTCATTACTATTTCAAGTTCAGTGGGGTCTTTATTTACATAAAATATGTTAGTATCATCAGCAAATAGACGAAAAGAAAGTACTGATGAACAATTAACTATATCATTAATATAAATTAAAAATAATAAAGGCCCCAATGTTGATCCTTGAGGAACGCCACATGTCATCGTTAAAGTGCTATATTGTACGTTATCTATTTGTACAAATTGAAGTCTATTTGTTAAGTAGCTGTTAAACCATTCAAGTGAATGACCACGTATTCCATATTTAAATAATTTAGCTAATAATATTTCATGGTTGACCGTGTCGAAAGCTTTAGAAAATTCAATGAAAACCCCGCATGTAATAAGATTATTATCAATGGAAGTTTTCAGGTTCTCAGTTATTTCTAAAATAGCTTGTTCCGTTGAGTGTTCTTTTCTAAAGCAGAACTGATACTTGTTGAATATGTTATATTTCTCTAAAACTATATTCATTTAGTCTGAAGATGTCTTAAGTTAAAGACGAAGCGTTAGTGCTCCTTAAATAAATTTTATGTCTATATTCTTGTGTATATATGGCTCTTCTGCGTACGTTATGCTGGGCATTAATTAAGTTTCATTTTTTAATATAGAAGCATGCAAGGAGTATGTGGCTCGGATAAATTACGAGTTCAAATTATCATAGACATGTATAAAATGTTTATTTTCAGTAATGTTAATATTTCAGAGCTACCAAGTTCAGATGATTAAATACCTGAAGGTTATTAGCAGGCGAGGCCAGTATAAACGGAACGGGCTGAACATGATCATGCAATTCATTGGCATGTCCCCATTATTAAGAAGTGTTTCATGGCTATTACAATGTTATTTCCTGCGCTAGCAAGTGTTAATTAAAAGGTGACGATACACCTTCGGAACATATATTTGTTAATTGGCCTCAGTAATTGCTGTAAAAAAGCTGCAATTGATCCCCATTAATTACTGAATTACTGAATACTGATAAATTTGGAGCCAGCATAGAATATAAGTCAAACTGTGTTCCTATACATGCAGATTACACATTTGTCAAACACAAAATGTCAGTACAAAATACAGAATTTTTTCCAATAATTCACAATTTCACTTGCCTAAATAACTCCACTCAGATGTCACTGCTTATGTGGACGATACACAGTTTTTCAATTTATAAACAACTTATTCATGGCATGGTGCGATGCATAAGTATATGCAGTTTGTGTATCACTATTTGATACTCCCAGTATTGTTCAAATTATCTTTCAAAGTGGCCTCATTTGGCAGTTGCCAAACATTTAACACATGCATGTGACATTTGCAAACCGCATGCTGCATGGAAACACCTACAAAACGGAGAATGGGTTTATTTTTAATATAATGACAAAGATGGTTGAATGTAGGCATCCTGTTGCTGTTTATGCATGGCAAAAGACTGAGATGTAACCCTCTACTGTTTGAGCTTATCCCATGTAACAAACCCACAGCAGGCAACTTGATAAATTATGACAACATTGTTACAACCTGTTGACTTATCCCATACCTGGGTTAAAAGCGGCTTCCTGATTGGGTTAGAGCAGGTGAGCTTGTCGTCGAGCTTTTTGCCGAACTCACCTGCTTTTCGCCCGAACTCAGCCGCTAAACTGCTTACGTTGCAATAACAATAACAAATACGGCGAACAAGATTTAGCCGATAAACCGAAACTTTAAAGAACTTTTTTCGGTGACTAACATACTGAGACTGAAGAAAAACCGAAGAAAAATGCAGTAAAGGTAATGTAGACGTAGATAAAGAAGTATGTTCTTGCCCAGTGATTTTTTTGGCCGGGAAAATGTTCACAAAACATCGACGAATATATCGCGAAGAGCTACAAATGTGTGTATGGCTCGGTGTATGGGTAAAAACCAAACGTACTTGCAGGTTCAGTGAATCCGGGATTGGACTCACCTCGGGTGGCTGGAAGTTTCCCGAACTCACCTCGCTTCTCTCGGTAAGTTCGAGAAACTTCCAGCCACCCTCGGTGCGTCCAATTCATGACTCACCTCCCTGCAAGTACGTTTATTATATTATCCCATACTTGTGTTAAAAGCGGCTTTCTGATTGGTCTAGAGCAGGTGAGCTTGTCGTCGAGCTCACCTGCTTTTTGTCTTATCCCATACCTGTGTTAAAAGCGGCTTTCTGATTGGTTTAGAGCAGGTGAGCTTGTCGTCGAGCTCACCTGCTTTTTGCCGAACTCACCTGCTTTTCGCCCGAGCTCACCCGCTAAACTGCTTACGTTGCAATAACAATAACAAATATGGCGGACAAGATTTAGCCGGTAAACCTAAACTTTAAAGAACTTTTTTCGGTAACTAACATACTGGGACTGAAGGAAAACCAAAGAAAAAATGCAGGAAAGGTAATGTAGACGTAGATAAAGAAGTATTTTCTTACCCAGTGATTTTTTTGGCCGGGAAAATGTTCACAAAACATCGACGAATATATCGCGAAGAGCTACAAGTGTGTGTATGGCTCGGTGTATGGGATAAAAACCAAACGTACTTGCAGGTTCGGTGAGTCCGGGATTGGACGCACCTCGGGTGGCTGGAAGTTTCCCGAACTCACCTCGCTTCGCTCGGTAAGTTCGGGAAACTTCCAGCCACCCTCGGTGCGTCCAATCCCGGACTCACCTCCCTGCAAGTACGTTTGTTATAAAGCCTGCTAGTGCAGACACTATGAGATCAGTGATTCGTGAGTTTATAAAGCTCCGAGTAAACGCTTATAAATTGTCTTTAAAACTCAGATGTTGAATTTTCTCTGTAAATATTAAACTTAGCAAACCCTGCTAGGGTTTCAGGCAATACGAATCTATTTTAGTTACCTTATTTATAAGCCAATACGAATATATTTTAGTTACCTTATTTTTAAAGGTAACTAGTTACCGTAAAGTTACTCAAAAAGTAACGATTACTTGTAATTTCGTTACTTGTAACGAAGTGACTTACAGCACTGAATTTATAGTTTTATACGGATTTTAAGGATAAAAATAAGTCAGGTAAATGGCTTTATTTCTTTCTGCTAACCGTAATGTACATCAAAGCGTTGATCTTTAACTGTAACGGGTTACATTTTGGCCTAAAATGAAACGATAACAATGGGATTTATAATAATTCCCATTGTAAATCCACCATGCCATGGCCAATGTGATCCAATAACAACTCGTAATCTTGAGCTTTTGACATGCGCACTTAACATTTACATGGATTGCGGTATTTAGTTGACAGAGAAACCGATATTGATAATAAATGGGCATGTTGAAAAAATCTTTTTATAACTGTTCTTGATAAACATGCCCCGGTTAGGGAAAGACGGGTACGAAATAAAACATCTGTGGCATGGATTTCTAGGAATATCAGAAACAAAATGTTTGAAAGGGATCGTTTGAAAAGAAAAGCAATTTTGTCGGATTTAAGTGAAGATTGGAGCCAGTATAAACATTATAGGAATAATGTCAACATTGCAATGCGTGAAGCTAAGAAAGTTTACTACAAAAGCAAATTTGACAAACATCAAAACAATCCAAACCAGGCTTGGAGGACGATTAATGATATCCTTGGGAGAAAAAAGAAGGACACAATGATTAACGAATTAAAGCTAGGAAATGATACAATTACTTCTCCTATGAGAATGGCTAATTGTCTTAATGACTATTTTACAAGTATTGGTGGTAAAATTGGAGACTCCTGCTCTGAACACACTCAGAATTTTGGCAGGCATATGAGTGATAATCTAAATACTAGTTTGGAATTTACTTTGCATCCTGTTAACGAATCACAGGTTTTTAGGCTACTTAACAATTTGTCTATTTCTAAATCTACTGGATGTGACAAAATACCGGCTAAAATTCTAAAAAAATCTGCTTCTGTAATTACACCGTCTTTGACCAATTTGTTTAACTCTGCTATTGGGATGGGAATTTTCCCCTCTGAATGGAAAATTGCTAGAGTTATACCGCTTCATAAGAAGGGTTCACGCTCCGTTTTAGATAATTATAGGCCAATATCAATTTTGCC